AGGTCATCAAAAATTAGATGTTCTCTGGTTGTTCACTTGGTTGAATAGTTGTTAAAGACAGTCTTTCCCTTTTGCTCTCCAAACTATGTGAGCTATATTATGTGGTGTGGTTCCAGTAGGTGAATGACTGATCTGGTAGCAGTGTGAACCTTGGTCCCCCCCCCGGCTGCTCAGAGCCATTCCCTGCTGCCCTCTGAGGCGTTGCTGCGAGGTTTGTTCTGCCTGGTTGCTGTTGTCTGCCTACGTACTCTGTTCCCCAGAGCATCTGTGTCATCATGATGCAACTGAAACCTGAGTGCCGACTACATGCATGGTCAGGCCGTCCTGTCACCTAGCCACCCTACTGGGACTGACCGTGACAGGAAGGCTGCCCGAAAACATACCAAGAGACCTCTTTGTTCCACGCTGTTCCTAAAATAAGAATCCACGCTCCTTCAGATGGTGCCCTCTGTGCAGTACATTTCCCACAGCAATCTCTCCATGGACCCATACAAACACATGTATCTTTTCTCAGATGTCACTCCCGTTCCTCTTACATGCACGGAAATATAATTTAAAACCAGTAAACTAAACTGAGGTGTGAACAGTCAAGGTTGTTGATGAAATAAAGAATAGCTACAGATCACAACAACAGCTCTTATGTGGAGAAGTACTAAAGAATAACCATCACAAAAACAATGTTTAAAGTGAAGGGCTGCATCCTTTTTGGCGGTTGACAGTAGCCATTGGAGTTATGGTATAGATTTTTATGGCCTGGTTGGATAATTAGAAGTTCACCCTTAACCATATTGCTAATTGTCATTCTTTGTATCCAATGTTTGTACTTTTATAAACAAACCATTTTCTCACTGGAGATCAGTTCTGGTTAAACAACAAAAAGTGTCTACAGCCAAGCTAGTGGCTCTGTGAGGCTGCACTTAGGGCTAAATGCTCACATCTGCATAGTAACATGCTCCCAATGGCAATGTTAACATGTTATTATTTATCAAGTAAAGTTGGCAGGTCATACACCAAAGCATTGGACGAACTGAAATTTTTAACGTTCATTTGTTAACTGTCTTGTAGAGGTGCCGTGGGTCAAAATCCAGTGTTTAGTTATTTCTTTAGTCATTATTCTTACAGGTGCATATTCCCAAATAGCTCTGTGTTTAATTAAAGTTTATAGATATGGGATTTACAACATTGGCATAGCAGCAAACAACTATTCTCTATGTGAAGATATAGTGGAGTCATATAAGGATATATTTCCACTGAAGCACAGTTAGTGATTGTTAGGACAGTGGAAAGACTAACAAAGACGGTTTTGGTGAGTTTTATTTTGAGACGCTGGTGCTCTAGTCTGATGTTATATATAGCACAAGCTCACTAGTGCAAGACACAGCTGGGGCAGGCTAGCAACTCAGAATAGGAGTACTGGCTGGCTTTCTAGGGCTCTGTGTACACTGTACATGTTGGGTATGTAAAGGCAACAGGAACTTGAGGTTCAGTAGGGGCCCACAGCTCTTGGAGCAACCATTCCATTAAGATGACTGGTGTTTTGTTGTTTTTCAGACACAGTGTAAAAACAGAGTTTCATGAAAGTAAATATATTAGTTTCTCTTAAAACACCTGTACGCTGTGTGGTAAAACAAGTAGAAAGGCTCAGTTGTCCAGAGGCATATTCTACAGAGTGGTTGCTCTTGTACATATGACCATCTCCACTTTATCAGGTACACCTGACAATCTAGTGGTAATGGTAAATGGACCTGTACTTATATAGCGCCTTTCTAGTCTTCCAACAACTCAAAGCATTTTTACACTACGTGCCACATTCATTCAGTGATGGCAAAGTCCATCGAACAGAAACACACACCGATGCACAGCATTGGAGCAATTCAGGGTTCAGTATCTTGCTCAAGGATACTTCGTCATGTGGCGTCAGGAGCCAGGGATCGAACCAACAACCTTCCGATTAGAGGACGACCTGCTCTGCCTCTGAGCCACAATATAACACAACTGTTATGCCATAAGATTCAATTCAATTCAATTCAATTCAATTTTATTTGTATAGCGCCAATTCATAACAGAAGTTATCTCAGGACACTTTTCAAATAGAGCAGGTCTAGACCGAACTCTTTAACATTAATTACAGAGACCCAACAGTACCACCATGAGCAAGCACTTGGCGACAAGGGCAAGGAAAAACTGACTCCTATAATATTTTTTACATGTCATAGAGGTGTTAATTCAATGCTATTTTTAAGCATTGATGTCACAGTAATGGTGTTGTATTGGACTGCATTATGTTGGGAGGTGTTTCTAATATTCTGGCTCACTACTGTATGTAAATAGGGAGGACAAAAAAATAAAAACACATATATAATGCATAATGTAGTCCAGTACAACACCACATTTACAACTATGACTACAGGTTGAAGATAGAACAACAGAGTTGTTGCATTGAATTGCAGTACACCTACTAACTGTATGTCAAGGCTTTATTTAACAGAGTAGAAGTAAAGTCAGTAAAAATGACATTACCCTTTAGGTATTAAAATACTTCGTTGTCTCTTTGGCTTACGCTTAAAGAACCACAACTCCACAGGACCACTGAAACAAGCTACTGAACCTCCTTCCTGTTGCCTCTCTTTTCTGCACACACACACACACACACACACACACACACACACACACACACACACACACACACACACACACACACTCCATGCTGCTGTAATTATCACTCAGTGAGACAACCGCTCTCTAACAGCTACACCTTGCTGACATGTGACATTCAGGAGAGGACATTCTCCAGTGTTATCACTGAACTCCTCTGCTGGAGAACAGCTGACAGGGCGCTCACGTTGGCCAAATCCAAACCAAATATTTAGGCATTAAACAGGTAAACAGACTGCTGACGCTCCCACACCCGACCCACGATTAAGAGCGCTGGGCAGGGGGAATTTTAGTTAATTTTTTAGTTCATTAGCTGGGTTGACAGAGTCCCCTGATAAGGATGTATAAACAGCTCCACCTTGCAGTGGCTACAGAGAGAACTTGCCCCTCGGAAAAGGCTGCTTTCCACTAGGGCCAGGCTGCATGAATATTTCAGATGGGTAAATAATTAATAATTAACAGCAAACAGGCCAGTGATCAAATGGAGCAGCATGGCAACAGACATGAAAAATCTGACTTGTAAACAAAGACAAGAGAACCCAGATTTCCTCCCCTCTCGCCACCTTTTTTTCTCGCCTTTTAAATATGCGCATCTTCAATTGCCTCCCGCATCGTCGTAAAACCACACACATACAAAAGGCACATGTATGAACACACAAACTCCATATCAGCGACTCTGTCAAACACACACAAAGTGCTGCCATAACCCCCTCCGTCACTCACTCACATTCATACCCACACTTATTTTCCTCCAGAAGAATGAAATTTTCACGTATTCCTTGGCGACCCAGGGAATGTGACTGAGCGAGAACACTTGATCTGGCCACCCGCTGTTTTCTGATGGAAAGATTTGCTTTTTAATACAATCGTCACTCCTCCCACCTGGATATGCCACGCCAAGACAAATCCCAGCTGTGTGACTCCAAAACCTGACAGAGCTTAAAAATTCCCTTATTACCATTCCCTTAAAATACCCAGCCACACTAACTCCCACCAATGGTGGGAATGCTAATCACGTCTCTCGGCAGCTTATAGGAGCATGAAAACAGAGCCACCAATATTCAGAGACTTTGGTGCATGTGGAAAAAGTGAGGAAGAAGAAGGAGGAAGATGAAGTCCCAGCTATAATGACACACATTCACAGAAGCATCATGGCTCTTAAAAGCTGCTTCTCCTAAACATGGCACATCTTGCCGTTTGACTTTAGCCAGAGGAGACATTTCATAAAAATCAGACTTAATCGTGTAAACAACACGCAGACAAACAGAAAACCACTGCAAACAAAAATAAAACAACTTTGGAAGCTGTGCACGGATCGCCTTCAGAGTTAATTTTAAAGTAAGCATTCCGTTCCTTGGAGATTTTAATTAATGCTTTAATATGCAAATAAGTTAGCAGAGATAAAATCATGACAAACAGATGGCAAGTGTGGGTAATTATTTTGTGAATCCAGCAGGGGCATGTATTAAAGTTATGGCATCGTTTTCCTCAGGCCTCTGCAGCCATGGATGGTAGAGAGGAAAAAAAACACAAGTATCACTGATGAAATGAGAAACAAATTACTTACTTATGTCTCCAAGTGACAAATCTGTGACCATAGTGAGTCTGATAATATCACAAAAGACACGATGTGAAGGATAAGTAATCCTTGAATCACCAATACCCCTTTATTCTAAATTAGAAGGAACAATTAAAGTATTTTAAAGTGTTTCTTCTTGTTCCTACAGTGTGCTGTTTGAATGCTGTCTGTGCAGAGTTTGACACTAGAAGGATGTTTTCACATTCATCTGCTGAAAGTGGAAAATTTCTCTGTGCTCATTGAAAATCTGATTTGAAGGGGCGGGGCCTACCAGCATGATGTCTGGCATCACAAATAGTTCGGAAGTTGAATCCTGGTCCAGTATGCAACTTGTACAGTGTGATGTAGAAACATGAAGCCACCAGTGCACATCCACTGAGAATGGACTTTACAGTGAAGTAGGAGACTTCCATGTTTCTACAGTAGCCCAGAATAGAACACAAAAAACATTGGCTGTAGATACCGTTTTGCTTCTTTTGTGAGTTTCACGGCTACTGTAGTTTCTCCTACACACTTGGAAGGTGAGTTGTATTTAAGTGCTTGTAATCTGCAACTACACTTTTTGCCACTAAATCGCACACGCTGGTCCTTTAAATGAAAGCTAGTAGATAGTCAGTTAAATGGTCCACAAGCTCTGGAACAGCTACCATGGACGTTTCAGTGAGATTGTTTAGTCAAGATTATTCATCATCTTCTTGTTACCTAACTTTTAAACACAATCCAGTGACACAGCGCATGAAGACATTGGTCACTTAGCTGTACCTACCTGCTCCGATGGGGGTACGTAGTCCAAATCCAGGCTTGCGAGAGAGCGGTTGATCCTCAGGGCCAGACACAGGGCCATCAGACCTCCAACCTTCACCTCATTCTGACGGAGGTCCAGCCGCTGAATCTGCCGACTCTCTGCGAGGAATTCTGCCAGTGCCACAGCACCTTCACCAAAGAAACATGTGGTGTCAAAATGTTAAAGGCGACTAGCTTAGAAGCTTGCTTGGGTAGTTGCAAGGGTAGCTATCCTAAATAACCAACTTTGTCTAGACTGCAGTTTTTTGGCAAAGTATGTTACAATAATATTTCTTGTACGCCCAAACTCTTTCAACGTGCTTTGGTTAAAAGCTCTCTGTGTCCAGAGCAGCTCTGCATAGAGACAAGCATACTGCTTGATTAATTGGGGAGCTATTATCAAATACAGCATGTATGGAATGCAAAAGTAAATGCTTATTAAATGCAAATTGTCTGTTTGCTATTCATAAATTTCTTCTTATTGTTAAAATGTATTTAAAGGTAATTTTAAACATAATTTATTGTTCAGGTCCACTGTGTAACATTTTGGATCTATTATCAGAAATGGAATATAATATAGTAATGCAGTACAACAGTATTAGTTAATTTGGTCACAAATTCAACCAAATTGTGACCAAATTCAACATAATTATCCTACAAATACATGAAATATAATTGTAAATTCAAACACAATCCCATGTAAAATACATGCTGCATACTGTTGTACCTTCACAGGTGATGCTGGCTTGGGCCAGGCTGAGCTGCAGCACTGAGCAGTTCATCATCAGAGGCTCCCTGATGACCTGGATCCCCTCGTTCCCCAGGAGGTTCTCACCCAAATCCAGGACCTGCAAGACCTTTAGCGCTGGCTGCAAAACAGGGATCCCGATCACTTTGATTAGCATTCATCTCAGCTGACCAGGGACTAAAGATTGTTGGAACTGGATCCAGAGACTTCTGGTACCAAAAACACTAAAGGATTTTACTCCTTGTTTTTAAACTTTAAGTACTCTGAAGTCACTCTAAGTGAGTTCAAAAGACTTCACCCGACAATGAAGCTCTGCTTCAGACCTTGTGTTGTGCGGTACTTTCAGTGTGCAAGTGAGTGTGGAAAGGCTGAGAAGTTTTAATTATCATTATTATTATCTGATGATTATTATTCCTTTTCAGAATGTTTCCTCTCATGTTAAATGCTCAGAACTTCTGTTTCCACTCTCCAGAGCCACATTAGCATCGAAGGTTGATTAGCTGGCGCATAAAGATGGTGGTGTCTAGGGCACAAGAGGCCCATGTTGCCCAACCGCTTGAAGAGGAACGTGCCACCCACTCCTTGGTTGCCCCCCCCCCCCGCCTCACCACCCTTGTTAAATTCCTCTGGTCACTGCTCTGAAGAGAGAGGGAGCGTGGGGGTGGAAAGGAAGGCAACCAACGGGCCCAGAGAGCGTCTTCGCCTGAGTTAATTTGCACCGCAGTGACAACAAACACACTTGAGAGAGCCCCCCCCCACTCCCTTTTCCCTCACAGAGGCGATGCCACATCCAACGCGTGGCGAGAAGCTTCTCCGGTGAAGAGGAGAGGAGGAGAGGGAGGAAGAGCATCTCCAATGGATATGCACGAGGGATAATAGCAGACAATTAAAGAGGCGACTGCGTGGTTGAGAGTGTGTGAGAGTCAAGCATGGTTGAAGCCTGTCAAACGTAAACCACAGGAGGGTTGGAGTGAGAAGTTTGAGGGGGGTACGAGTGTGAAACCACCAAAAACACAGTATGCCTTCACACATGACATGCTGGCTTTAAACAAAAAAAAAACAAAACCAGGGGAATCACGTACAGTAGAAAAAAACAGGGTCCTATATGACATATTCACCTCAGAATAATCATTTCTAGAACTTTTTGAGCAAAGAGTAAATTTAGACATCCTTATTGGAGTTTGGCCCACATCTGCTCCCCTCATCTTAGTCCTTCAAAAGACAAGCCAACAAGCTACGGGGACGGAGAGGAAAAGCACATATACCAACCAGAAAGGTTAATAACAGCTCTCCTCGTCATCATATTCGACACGACCAGCTACGGGTCTAATTATCATCATTATGGCCTGCGAGGACATCTACTTATCCCCATGACTGGCAGGCCGCATGAGCAGCCCTGCTTAACACACATCTATTATTTAATCAAACTGTTCCTTCTTTTGGTAGCACTGGAGGAGACAGGGGAAGTGTATGTGTTAGCGTATGAGGCAGGCCTTTAATTTCTAGCCTTTTGACTTCCACAATCGCCACTCAGATGACAGGAAGGTGCAGTTTATGCTGCCAATCAGGCGGAAGGAATGCATGTTATTAGGAGTATACAATGAAACGTGTGGAGGCAGGACATTTTCAGGGAGGGAATTCGCAGGATGAGGCTCTAAATTTCCTCAATACTGGATCAGGGGAAGCAGGTATCAGTGGGTCAGTTAATAGGGCTGTTCCACTCACTTCATGATCAGAAATAGATTTCTTCCAAAGTTACATTAAATTCCCACTTTCTGTTTCCTTCCTGTGATCTGGTGGCGAGAGTAACATGAAGAGGGAACTGGGTACTGAAAGACTGTAAATTTGGCACATATCCACTTGATTTATGTAACTTGGACTGCTGAGGCCTCATGTTAGCTTCAGATAAACTTTGGATTGAATTTAGCATGGCTTTAGCATGCATCACTTCCATTGGAAGCACATTAGGGAGGAATCTCCTATTAATTTAACCCTTTAGGCGCCGGGTTTTATTTTTAAAAATACTAGATATTGACATCTAAATTTCAGGAGGCTCTGGCTTGAAAGTGGTTTGAGATAGAGACAAAGTGTAAATGAGACTTATATTGAGAATGACGTTGAATGATGAATGAAGTTTATCTAGGGAGTAAATTTCCTCATCTAATTTGCATATTATGATGTCATATGGTGGCGCCCATATTGAATTATGTAATTTCCATGAAATACCTGATATTTTGAAAGAGAGTTGAATTTATTTCATCAAAGGGAAGGTGAAAAAAGTATGTTGCAATATGCAAATTCACCGCTAGATGCCACTAAATCCTACACACTGGCCCTTTAAGAATGAGTCTTAATGGCCCATGGGATAGTTAAGATAGCAAACATATTTAGTCAGCCTACCACAGCAAGTTAGGCCTCATATGGATATCTTTGCAGTCTTTATTCAACAAATGTGCAAATTCAATTCAATTCAATTCAATAACAGAAGTTATCTCAGGACACTTTTCAAATGGAGCAGGTCTAGACCGAACTCCTTATAAATAAATATATATAAATTCCTGTTCTTATTCCCAGGTCGTCAAATATCAGTGCTTTATCGCACTCCTTTGTGTCTCATACAGACAAACAGGGTACCTTTTAGTATAAGACACACAAGGCTTTAATGTAAACCCATTCATGTCAGGTGACGTAGTATGAAGAGCAAGAAAGTCTGAACCTGCAGGTGTTTGGGGTGGATGGATGGCTCAGACACACATAGGACTGTCACCAAGGAGACCAGGGTTCATATCCCTTGTGAACGTAATGGAACCCAAACCACGACGTTTTCCTTAGCAAGTAGCTTTGGTGCCTACTGCTAACCCAACAGTAAAGTATTTTAGGCAGAAAGTGGCAGCGTTGTGTTTCATGTTTTCATCTCTTGCAGACACTAAAGGGTGTCTTGTGGGTCTTTATGAGATGCAGAGGGGACTAGACAAAGTGTCGGTATTTGACCACCAGGGATGAGAATGGGTTGATTGTACGCGCAAAAATGACGGAAGCAGTTCTGTTAAGAACGGAAAAAGAGAGCTCGATTAGTTCAAAGACTACCTTAAGATGAATCTATACTTACCAGCTTCCAGTTGTGGTTCCGGAGGCAGACACCCTCTCCACATTTAAGAGTAGGCTTTAGACTTTGATAAAGCTTATAGTTGGGGCTGGCTCAGGTGAGTCCTGAACCATCCCTTAGTTATGCTGCTTATAGGCCTAGACTATCGGGGGATTTCCCATGATGCATTGAGCTCCTCTTTTCCTCTCTCTCTCTTTCTGCACTCATTTATGTCCTATTAGTGCATGTTACTAACCTCACTACTCCTGCCATGGTCCTGCTTGACTGCCATTGCTAATATTACTGATATTATTAGGGACCAAGCCAGCGACCGCTGGAGGTCCCTATTGTATTTGCTATGTTTCTTCTTACCTATTATTATTTTTAGGCCCCTTTGACTGCATTTTTGCCCCACTGAACATATACGAAAACTCAATTTTATTTGACAAAATTGTAAGACCTGGTGAAAATGGGATATTCAATGCGGGTCGGCCACTAGGTGGCGCTACTATCATAAAAAATGCGTTTAGGCTAATAACTTCTGCATAGTTTGCTGAATCTCCCCATATAGGCCCAGCCCACTTCCACCTATAATTTTTTTTCGTTAGAGTGTGAAATGTCCTTAAACTACTTTATCGTGTTCCTCCTACACACTTTGTCCGATTCGCACCTGGGGACTGTCCTGGCAAAAAATGTAATTTAAGAATTTGGATATTTTAGAAAATAAGCATGTTATAAAATTAGCACTTCCTGTAAATTTTTGGTCAAAAAAGGAAGTGGACCATTTCTCCACACTGGTATGTCCGATTGACACCAAGCTTGGGTCCATAGTTCCCAATGTCTTCCTTAGGCATTGTGCAAAATTTCAGGTCATCACCACCAGGTGGCGCTCTTTAAAATGAAGAAGCTTATATCTCTGCAACGGCACGTGTGATTAAAACGAAACTTGGTACAATGCTTGCCCATGGCTCCCTGAGGCTCCCTGAAAAATGTGTCAACAATCCGTCACTATGTGAGTGCCGTAGAGCTGAGTGCAAGTGGAATAAGGACAAACTGCAGGTGTCTTTTCAAATGTTAAGGGACTGCTGGCGTCATTATCAGAAAACTGTGAAAGATGCTAAAAGAAAACATTTCTCGGATATTATCCTGTCAAACTGTCACAAGCCTCGTGTTTTGTTTAACACTACTGACTCACTTCTGAAAGCCACGCAGACTGCCTGTATACGTAGGCGTCCCCTGCTTTGTGTGAAAACTTCCTTCACTTTTTTAATTGATAAGGTCACTTCAATTAGGGCTCACCTTCAGCTTATGACCCCTCAATCTTTGTCCCCTGCTCTGCTGTCTTTGACCATTTTGAGCCTGTGACTTTTTCCTTTTTACAGGAGGTTGTTGGTCATTTGAAGCCCTCAGGTTCTCCAAATGATGCTGTCCCCCCTCGACTATTTAAGGAGGTTTTCCCCACTGTAGGACCATCTGTTATTGCAATCATAAATAGCAGTCTGACCTTAGGTGTGGTCCCTGAAAATTTTAAACATGCAGTAGTACAACCTCTAATTAAAAAACTTGCTCTAGATCCTGCAGTTCTTGCTAAGGCCTATCTCCAAACTGCCTTTCCTTTCAAAAATCCTGGAGAAGATTGTGCACAGTCAATTAATGGCCTTTCTGGAAGAACATAATATCCTAGAGGTTTTCCAATCCGGTTTTAAAACCCTGCACAGCACAGAATCAGCTCTCTTAAGAGTTTTTAATGATATCTTTTTAGCTACTGACTCTGGTGACTGTGTTATCCTTGTGCTTTTAGATTTAATTGCTGCATTTGACACAGTGGATCATGAAATATTGATCTCACGTTTGAAGCAGTGGGTGGGCATCAGGGGCATAGCAATGGAGTGGTTCAGGTCGTACTTGGCTGATCGAACTTTCTGTGTCAGCCTAGGTGACTCTGTATCTGTCTCTGTCTCTGTCTCCTCTGCTTCTCTCTCGTGTGGGGTCCCACAGGGCTCAGTTCTTGCCCCTCTCCTTTTCTCTCTCTATTTGCTCCCACTTGGTTCCATACTTAGGAAGCATTTCATTCCACTGTTATGCAGACGACAGTCAGATTTATGTGCCTCTTAAAAAGAAAAATGAATACTCTGTCAGACTGCTACTTAAGTGTCTCGACGACATAAAGGCCTGGATGGCTCTGAACTTTTTAAATTTCAATGATAAAAAGACGGAAGCAGCTGCTCCTGAGTGTGCTTAAAAGTAAGCGGAAGCTCAGAGGGGACCGTGCCTTTACTGTGTCTGCTCCTAAATTATGGAATGATCTGCCTCTGCACGTTAAACAGGCCTCTTCTCTGTCTGTTTTTTAAAACCCGTCTTAAAACCCATCTCTTCTCTGTGGCCTTTGACACCTAGTAAGATGTCGACTTTATTTACTTGATTTAATTTCTTATTTTGATTGCTTTTTACGTTTCACAGATATGTATGAAACTCGGTAGGCACATGTAAGGTGCTGAGACATACAAAAAAGCCTCTTGGACTCATTCGGCCATTTTCATTTTCATTTCCGGCGAACTTTTAGCGTTGTATTTGAACCAACTCCTCCTAGGAAATTTACGATGGCACATGACGCGGCCGCAGCACCGAGTTGCATGGAGTGCAAGGTCCCGCCCAACGCTGCTTGCAGCTTTAATTATTATTATTATTATTATTATTATACCCTATTAGGTAACACTTTATAATGAGTACACACTATTAAGCGTTAATTAAGCATTAATAAATTCTGAATTCATCATTTATAACGCATTTTTCTGACATGAATACACATTAGTATGTAGTTTATAAACACAGTTAAAAATGTTTTATTCATCATTGATAGGCACATTAGTTATGGATTAGTAAATACTGAATTCATCATTTATAAAGCATGTTCCTGCCGTAAATACTCATTACTATGTGGTTTATAATCACAGTTATAAATGTTTTACTCTTCATTAATAAGCTCATCTATAACGTGCTAATGATTGCATTTTCATATTTTATATATGATGGATTCAGCATTTCTAAATCAAGTATTACATCACTTACTAACCAGTTATTTAGGATTTGTCAGTGGTTTGTGATATTATTTAGAAAGTGTATGTAAATAATGAACAAACTATTTAGATGTACATTTCTGCATGCACTTGCACATCCACTATTCAGACATGTATTAATGATTAGTGACTGTGTTAGCAGATGTTCCATAAAAAACTCACAAATTAATTTCCAATGGATATATATATATATATATATATATATATATATATATATATATATATAAACAGTTATTAATGCAGGAATTCATGAATTGAGGCAGTTACGAAGCACTTACTACTCATTAATTAAGTATTTTGTGCGAGCTCATCTAAAGTGAGCACTATCTATGGCTTATTAAAGCATTTACAAATGAGATATAAAGGCTGACAATGCCTCAAGACTCACAAAATGTTCAGTTATCTTAACAGACGAAGGAGAGACACAACACAAAGGGATATAGAACATATTGTATTGATATTTACTGCAACTTCCCAACATATTGTATGAAGACGGACGAGGGTGGTTTATGAAGACATGCTATTGTTGTGATCTTATCTGTTTGGGACGTGTACGTTGAGCTTGCAATCCCGCTCTCAGCACGTCATCAAAGTGATGACGGTGGGAGGCGGCAACATTTTACGTTCATATTAACGCAGCCAAGAGGAGCATGGAGAAGTCTGGCCTAAATCGACAAGGCGGACGCGGGCCAAAAAGAATGGCGGTGTGGGGATGGATACATTGGAGTCGGCGGCCGTCAGCGGCACTAGTGGTGAGTATGTGTCTTTGTTTGCTAGCACACATTATGGATGAAAGCTAACGTTAGCTTGTCGCCCGACTGTCCCCCGTCACCTGTCCCCGATTAACGTTACTACCGACCCGCCCGTGGTAGCTAAGCCGACCTGCCTGCATTTATCATTATCACTTTGAATATTTTCCTAAAAGTTTTTTTTTTTTTAACTTGTAATGTTGTCGCCGCGGTTAAGTCAGTATCGTCTAGCCGGGCCGGTCTCTCTCTCTGTCTCTGTCTCTCTCTCTCTCTCTCTCACCTCAACTGGTCGAGGCAGACGGCCACCCACCTAGAGCCGAAGGGTCTGTCCGAGGTTTCGGCCTCTTAAAAGGAAGTTTTTCCTTGCCGTTGTCGCCAAGTGCTTGCTCATGGTGGTACTGTTGGGTCTCTGTAAATAATGTTATAAAGAGTTCGGTCTAGACCTGCTCTATTTGAAAAGTGTCCTGAGATAACTTCTGTTATGAATTGGCGCTATACAAATAAAATTGAATTAAAAATGTAATTGAATTGAATCTGTTAAGGGGTTACGCCAGGGGTGTCAAACTGATCCGTGAAAGGGCCGGTGGGGCTGCAGGTTTTCATTCCAACCATGCAGCAGCACACCTGACTTGGTTCATTCAATCAACTGAACTGTCTTCACACAGTCAAAAACTTGCAGCCACACCCACGCTTTAATCAAGGGTGGCTGTTTCTGTTCCAATCAAGCAAGAGCACGCCTGAAATTACTGTGTGAAGACAGTTCAGTTGATTGAATGAACCAAGTCAGGTGTTCTGCTGCATGGTTGGAATGAAAACCTGCAGCCACACCGGCCCTTTCATGGATCAGTTTGACACCCCTGGGTTACGCTGTACCTACGGCAGCTACCTGCACGCCATTGGATAATATAAATACACATCGAAGCTACGGCAGCCACAGCTACAGTCTGCAGTTACACACTGGAGCAATATGCACAAAGAATAGGCCACTGGCATTGGAATATATTTATATGCTGGTTTTATGTTCCTCACCAGAGCCTTGGCCAGATGGACCATGCCATTTGCAGTGATCTGGTTGTTCTTCAGCATTAAGACCTTGAGACCTCTCGTCTGCCACCTCAGACCATCACACAACTCCTCCAAACCTAGATGTTAAAACAAAAACAAAAAACAAAAAAACATGAAAATATGGTAATTAGCAGAACATGTTCAACTGAACTGCTTGTATGTATTTGTAAGCTAGGGGACACTGACAGATGTTTAGTGGGAGTGTTGCTGCTACTTACAATTTGAGCTCCAGTAACTATGAAGTGCTTAACCTTTTCACGTATCTATATTAATTAGATCATATTAAAGCAGGACTGTGCAAGTTGGTAAACTGCCACTGCATCTAACTATCCTGTTGCTTCACTGTGTTTTCTTGTAAGGTGCTAAAGGCTAAATTAAGTGGCTCATTCTCTAATTAGCACACAGGGGCTGCCAAAGTTTACTAATAATTATTATTAGTCACACTTGCAACTTATGCAGATATTTGCTCTGCCTCTTCTTTTTACAGAATCTAGAATTTTTGACACCAAGGTTAAAAAACACACCTCTAAAGACTTCTTCTTTCCCCTTTCAAAGATACAATATGTAACATGTCACAATAAAATGTCTATAAAGACTGGACCTCTGTTCTATATGTGGTTGAGTTGTGTACTTACATTCCCAAATTTTTCCAACAATGTTCAAACCCAGAGAAATCTGTCATTTTATTCAGGTATCAATGGTATCATTTGTGCATGCGTCATAAATTGACGAAACCACATTTTTACCATCCACTGTTTAGAACTTGGTGCTTTTAACTCTAGATTTGAACCAGATGCAGGATTTTAGTTATCAGACATCAGGGTCAGTTAGTAAGTTATCAAAGAAACAAGCTGAGCTAATGTAAGCAGCAGCTCGGTTCGCAGCCCCTCCAGGACAAAGGGTCTGCCCAACAGTGTGGGAGAAGCAATGATTTTTAAGATGGAACTGCTTTATTCAGTGTTTTTAGTGGATTTAATCAGCGGGTCTGTTTGTTTTGGAGAGGAGAAGACCTCTGTGGATAACAGGGCTCCCGGTAGAAACCTCCTGAACAATGAACACTGAAGGAATCCTAACCAGGAGAAGCTGACAATGAAGACATTACGTTTTACATTTCAATTCTGCACCATACAACGTTGAATAAACCAAACGGTGTTCCTACCAGCATCTGCTACAGAATTGTTGCTAAGCTCCAGTGTCAGTAAAGTGGAGTTGTAGCGTAGCAGGTCTCCCAGCTGCAGGGCATCCTGGTAGCTGTTCAGCAGGTTGTTGGTAAGGTGGAGCTCCTGCAAAGTCTTATTTGACTTCAGTGCACCAACTACAAGCAGCAACAAAAGAGAAGAGTGCTGAAAATTGACATTACTCCCTTAAAGTACGATTATTCCTCAAACTTTTGAATTGGTTTGATAGAGAAAACTGCCTGAAAATTATTTGTGTAATTTGTGAGATAATGTTAAGGTCTGATATATACAACTGCTGAAGCTCCTTGCTGGAAGGCAAAATGATCAGACAACGCTCATGGTTGTCCATAACCTTAGAACAACAGAGAAGCTGGAAGTGATGAGAAACGCAGTGTACGGAAGTTTGCTCCTCTAACTTCGGATAGACCCCCCAGTTAAGACATATAGATTGGTTTAAATTGATATTAAATATAATGCATGGTACAGGCATGTCCTCTGAGTGCCAAACATGGGGCCTCCCGGTTGTAACTGCGTCAGATTGATTGACGGCGAGTGAACTTGAGCATGAAAACGAGACCGCAGCAGGAATCGCTGCCTTCTGCAATTACAGCGGTAAAGATCAAGTGGCGCTCCTTAACCATTCTAACATGAAGGAGCCATTGTTGGAGCTGGAGTGGTGACTCCTCAGCACAGCAGACCTGTCAAATTTCAAGGCCCTTGCTTCAGAATGTCAGTGTGTACGCCATTGTTAGAATCTTTTCATTATGATGCTTTATCACATCTTTAATGGTGCTTTGGAAAGATATCTTGTATTTATGTGTGTGTTGTGAGCACTCCCTGTGTATTTGTGTAAAGTGTACTGTACTGTGGTATACATGTGTCCGTGTTGCCTGAGCCCTCGCTGCCCTTGCATCCAGATCGATGCCACAGATTTGATCAAGCCTGTTGGGCTGCATGCGGAATGCCAACATTGTCATCAGGCACAGTGGGAACCAAATGTTGGAATCGGCGGGATTGATCCGGTCGACTCCACCGCGAGCGCCCAATCCCGCAATCAGAGGCCCCTCGGATCGAAGACAATGATCCTCAGCTGGGACCCCCTGCCGGGAGGGAAGAAGAGGAGGTGGCGGCGGGCTCGCTAAAGGCAAAGAGGATGGGGTGGGATAAGAGACGAGCGTGGGAGGAGGAGGGAGGTTGTGGAGACCCTTAAATATCAAAGAGATCCAGGAAATGGCTGAAAATGTTGCAGGAGCAAGTTGCTGTTGGGGAGTGGGCAGCATACTGTGCCCATTTGGTTCTTTCTCTGCTCCCAGCTGAGGGGAGACGACAGGCTGTCTTCAATGTTTTAAGTTCCAACGAAAAAAAAACAGGGATGCTTCTACTATCATCTGATCATGTACTAGAATTTATGAAAGCAACATTTTTTAGTAATTCCTATTTGATTATTTAATAGTGAAAATGAATATAAACTGAGACTACTTCCTGAACATAATTCTTGTGCATTTTTTATCTAATTATTACTGCTACATCACTATGTAGCTCAGCACCTCAAGCCTATTATTAACTACCTCTGTCGCACGTGACTGTGACTGTGTGTGTGTCCGTCCATCCATGTCCAGCACTCAACCCCCCTCTGAGTGTTGTGTTCGCCCGCGGTGAGTGTATTTATATGTGTGTATGCTCATCCAGAAATTGTGTATATGTGCGTGTGGAGCACGCATTTCCTCTCCCATTCCCCTTCTCCATTGCCACAGATACTGTTCAGAGTTACAACAGCAGCCAGTCAATGAAGGAGAGCAGACCTTGCGGAAGTCGCTGTGCTTTGTTTGTTTTTTTTAAATAACACATTTAATAATTTGTGGGTTAGAAAAGTGTTTATATGCTGTAAGTGTGTCAGTGTTTAATATGTGTTAGAGATGGTGTAGTGCAATGTTGCAATTGTAACAATAAACGCAAATTCAACTAATCCCTGTGAATTCTGTGCAACTTGGCAATTTTTTCCAATCATTGCAGTTTCCTACGCAAAAAGTTGAGTCATACATCCTCAAACTCACTTCCTTGTTTTTAGTTGTGAGGATACAGACCATGCGGACATGTGCAATGTTGTCATCGCAACAATTAATTCACATTTCAGTCTCAACAGGATTTCACTGGCTTAAAAGGCAACTAGACCCAGTAATTGCTAGTAGTTTGGTGACATATTGTTTGTAAAGGGGGACCGCTATGGTTGGTGAAACTCACATCAGGAAACTACAATGACTTGTCAAATTTGAGTTGACAAAATTGCAAGGTTGCACAGAATTCCAAGGTTCTGATTGAATTCACGGATTGGTTGATTTTACGTTATTTTTTGCAAATCACAGCATCACAACTTTTCTGCAGATTATAATTTTCAATCATCGTAGTTTCCCCGGGTTTCACCAATCATAGCAAAACATTGATCACATGTTTTATGAATTATACAAGAAATCACAACTATTTTTCAAATTTTAATTCATCTTAAAATGTAATTGCAAAAAAAAGCCAGAAAACATCAAATGGATCACTGCATTTTAGGCAGCATCAATCTCAAAAAATACCTGCGAAATCCTGGAGAAACCAGTGTATCAAATGTACAAGGAAAAAAACATTAAGTGTGTGTATCTCAGGTTATATTTTTGTTCAAGAGCCATGCCTTCAAAGTGTATAGTGCATATCTTTGTGTGTGTGTGTGTGTGTGTGTGTGTGTGTGTGTGTGTGTGTGTGTGTGTGTGTGTGTGTATGTGTTTCCTGGCTGCCAGGGCCTTTATAGATGTGTGCAGCAGTGTGTAAAGTGACAGGTAAGAGATTAGGCCTCTAATCCGGGTCCAGACCTGCAGAGAGGGTCACAGGTCAAAATCTGGTCCTGCTGGCTACAGGACACACCCACACACACATACACACTTACAAATGTGTCCACACTCGCACAGGAAAATTATTAAACAGACAAACAAAGAAAGTGAAGAAAGAGTGCTTGCGTGTGTGTATGTGTTTGTGTGTGTGTGAGCGTGCATGCGTCATACCCAGGGTGTATAGTGGCATGCCGCTGAGCTGGGCATTGTGAAGGTGCAGCACTCTGAGCTGGCTGGTCAGCAGAGCTTTAGATAGAGACTGGGCTGGGTAGTCAACCACGGGGATATTACACACATCTAGTCTGGACAGACGCACACTCTGAAACACACGTGCAGAAATACAATGAACACAGACTAATGCACAAAGAAGTAGTTGAAGACGCATCATCAGAATGACTAATCTGCTCAGAAGTAGGTGTCAGTAGGCCTGTCGAAAGTACACTCTGTCCTTCCTGACATCAAACACTGAGGAGAAACCAGGAGGAAGAACAAAAGGAACCTGAGTGATGGGGCGGTTAGGTGGATACTGTAGGATCATGTGGAGGGTTGGTCAGGGCAGATATGGGGTATGGGTTTGGGAAAGAGCTGGTGGTAGATGTAGCAGGTGTGTAGGATGGTACAGAAAGTAGCAGTGGAGAGATTTAGGGAGCTAGGGGAGTAGAATAAAGTAACTACTATTACTGCTACTGTCAGATAGATTATTAGGTATCAAATCTTTAATCTTGAATGATGCTGTAGGTTCAATTTTGCCATTCTTATAAAAACCCGCCCTATCTTTTACAAAATGCATTCATATTTTACTAATTTGCTTTGGCAAATAATTTGTGTCATCCACCTGATGGACAACATATCGGCCAACTCCTGAGAAAATGATCTGGTTCTAGTTGATAAACACTCCACTATGTTCACCAGCTAGTAGTCTAACTGTGGCTGTCTGCTGTTTGCTGCTGAGCAGAGTACAGTACGTATATCAGAGCGTTTCACTGAAAACAGCTGCCTGCTGATGCTGGCTGATGAAAGAGGAGTTTTTGGGCTGGCACCCAAAACAACAAACTGAAAGAGGCCAAAACTCTCTGCGGAGCTGAGGGGAACTGTGGGTTTGTTAGTATGACAACAGTATAGTAATTTGAAAGTTTTGGAAAAAACATACTCATTAGTGAAGTTTTAACCAAGACCACAATCTTTCCTACATTATACAAGTGATTAAAGTTATCTTAACATAACCATTAATACTTTGGCAGTGAGCAATTTGCAGACGTTCAGTGTAATTGTTATAAAATCTGAAAAACGGCAGCCTGTTGAAGCATCTGTATGTAAGTTCAAACGTAGCCTAGTTATGACGTAAATTATTACTAAGTTGTGATTCATGCATTACTAAAACAAAACCAGTTGCACCACGGAGAATAGTTACACTGTCACAGAATTATACTCACCAGTGATGAAACTGCAGTTTTTCTCCCACACATTATACTTTTTTAATTAATTGCAGCTATTTTGTGACACAGATATCTAATAGAGACCTAATTTATTGATATGATATTTCAATATGGATCTAGCTTACTACAATGTGGTACAAAGCCAGGTGACTCATCCTAGCCAGAACGCTAATGAACATGGTAACCATGACAATGGAATCATGGTGCAACCAATTTTAGCAGCTGATTTAGTTACAAACTAGTAGTAACTGAGCCTCTAGTGTCGACCTTACACTCTAACTTAGGAGAAAACCTACATACAGCTGGTGCAACCCAGTCCTGGCCTGCCTAACATTTCCAAAAATTGTAAGTTGTGGCATGCAGCATTGGCTAAAACTACACAAACTGGTGGTAGGACTTTGGTGACCCATGACCAAGTCACAGCAGCATTTAAAGGGACCAGTGTGTAAGATTTAGTGGCATCTAGAAGTGAAGTTACAGATTGCAACCAACTGAATATCACTTCTTCTAAGCATGTTAGGCTGCGAAAGTTAGTTATGGTAACAAAAACACAACAACTCTTATTTTCTGGTAATGGTAAATATACCTGTATTTGTATAGTGCTGTTCTAGTCTTCTAACCACTCAAAGCACTTTTACACTAGGTGCCACATTCACCCTTTCACACACAGATGGCAAAGCCCATCGAACAGAAGCAAACTAATTCATGCACATTCACACACTGATGACGAGGAAGAGGAGCCGAATCAAACCAACAACCTTCCGATTAGTGGACGATCCACACTACCTATGAGCCACAGCCTCGCACTGCTACACTAATGAAAACATACTTATGAATAATATATTTCATTTCTGTCAACAGATCCTCCTAAATGTTACACACTGGACCTTTAAAAGCACCAGGTTACAATGCCATAGGACTGAGTGAAGTGAAAAACAGTTTAAAACTTTCAGTCCTTGCATTTTTGAGAAATATTCTCAACTCAAAGTCCTTACATTCTTTTCCCTCATTCTGTCCTGCTTTGATCACACAGACGTGAAAGCCAGTCAGTGGAAATATCTGGACTCACCACATAGCTAATCAGTTATGCCTGCTAATGCTATCTGTGAAGCTGCGGTAATGTAGCGTGTGTGTTTTGATGTGTTTATGCTCGTGTTTGCAGTTCGCAACTCCTCACCCTGTTTGCTCTGCCCTGCGTCTTCAATCCATGTAATGTGCAACAAACTCACTTTCCAGGATGTACATTATCCCCCAGAGAAAGGGTAGAAGAAAATATTACTATTCCTCTGCATCAGCCAACCTGCTTTATCAAATGAGCGAGGGCCCTCCAACACGATGTTCCCATGCTACTGTTGTCAGAAATGTCAAGATGGGTTGTAGATTCATAGTACAAAATCATATCCAGCAAGGACGATGCTCCCTGCAAGAGAAAAAAAATGTGAAGGAGAAAAAATGAAGAAAGCAAGGCCCCAAATTTGACAGGAATGTTATGAAGTTCTTTTGGAAGAAAAAAAATAGCCTCTAATCTGATACAGGGGAAGGCCTGAATATGAAACTGTGTTGGAATTGGAAGACGAAGATGAGGAAAATAAGTTTTGCTCATAAAACTCACATTTTCTTCCAGTTGGGCTGCCTGCAGATTGATGAAATCAAAGTGCAGCGATTTCAGGACGACTTCCAGAGCTTCACAGGAGCGGTGGTCTAATCGCTCACCTTGATAGAGGCAAGCAATCAAACAGAAGATAATTGGGAGGCTGTTTGCTAACAGGCAAAATTGCACGGCTCTAAATGTGCCTTATCCTTTTTTCTGAAATGAACATTTCAGCAAAAAATCACAACAAAACAACTTCCTTTATAGGCAAAGTTTATCCGATATGTGTGTGTGTTTTCTTTTAATAAAGTTCTGAGACAATCAGAAACAGAAATAATTATGACAGCTCCAGTTAGACAAAACAGGACGCACTTTTTCACATTTGGACTAAGACGTGAATGCTGCAGTGTCCATTGATTACTAACAGCCTGTCATCGACACACATTCATGTCCCATTAATTGTTGTTGTTGTTGTGCACCTTCGTCTCTGTTCCTGTCCTTCTCTCTTTACCACCTACCCCTCACTCGTCTATCCCTCTACCTCCCTACCCCCATCTCTCTCTAACCCCAACCGGTCGAGGCAGACAGCCACCCAACTAGAGCCGGGGTCTGTCCGAGGTTTCTGCTTCTTAAAAGGAAGTTTTTCCTTGCCCCTGTCGCCAAGTGCTTGCTCATGGTGGTACTGTTGGGTCTCTGTAAATAATTGTATACAGTACAGTCTAGACCTGCTCTATTTGAAAAGTGTCCTGAGATAACTTCTATTATGAATTGATGCTATACAATAAAATTGAACTTAAATGATACTGACACTGCCAAGGGATTATTATCATGGAGTATTATCATATCTCAAACTTGACCTGATGCTTCTTTTCCTTTCTGGAAAGTTTTTTTCCCCTTTACTTACTTACTATATGATACACTCATTTGTACAGTTCATACAGTGTTTCACTGTTTTTTTTTATTTGCTCTTCACATTTCTATTATTGTAATTTGTAACAGATGTAATATAGCAACACAGTGCTCAAAAGCAATACTGATGTACCCTTCTGTAGTGGGTGGGATATATTAGGCAGCAAGTGAACATTTTGTCCTCAAAGTTGATGTGTTAGAAGCAGGAAAAATGGACAGCCATCAATTTGGGGTTCAGTATTTTGCTCAAGGACATCCAACATGCAGCAAGAGGAGGAGTTGTACTGTGAGTCGAGCTGCTTTCATTGGCTGCGCAGTTTTGTCTCATCTGTACCAGGAAACAATGGTACAACACTAAAATATTTGTTGTTTTTGAACAGATTTTAGGCGAGAATTAGTCAACGCAGTAACATAATCTTCTTTCATATTTGAACTGCCTAGAGAATGACTTGTCAATCACCTTCCTATACTCCTAAATGTTACACACTGGACCTTTAAATAAATGACAAAAATGTTGTTTTTCCCGGTTTCCCTGCTATACCAAAAACAGACTGATATATGACCCCAAATTTAAGGTACCTACAAAACCTTGGATTTTGTTTACCATTAGTAGCGTGCTGAGTATTAAAAATGTCCCTTGAGATGAATAAAGTTCTGTAATTTTTATAATCTGAACACTCACTTTTTATCTGCCATCTGTACAGATATATGTGAAATTAACCTTTTCTTCTTTTTCTCTCTCCTTATTCTTCTCCACATTTTTTATTTTGCTTCACTAATCCAACTGCTAATCCTATTGTTTTTAAGTGATTATTGTGTTTTTAGGAGTGATTATCAGGGATCACTGTTATCATTTTGTAATCTGATTACTGTGATGTGCCGCACCCTCATTCCTACATTATTTTAAGTAATCTTATATTTGATGTGTGTTTGTTAATGCATCTAAAGAATTACAATTCAAATGTGGTAATCTGATTACTGTTGCCCCCCCCCACTCCGATCAGGAGCCGCACTCCAAATCTAACTGTGACTGATCAAACAAATCCATGTGACTTTTAAGACTCAATCTCTCTCCTGGGTTAATTCTTATCTCCCCAGCCAAGAAGGGGAAATGATAATTACTATCATAATTATTTCCAAAATGATTTTTTTCCCTGTGTTTTAACAATAATCACTTAACTGAGCAATGGCAAGAGGGCGTGTGGGGTGGAAGGGAGAGCCATCTGAAATCCCATTTTTCTAATCCGCCCTGCGTCGGGAAGATAATAAGGCAGCGACACCCGCAGTCAGATGTCATCAGTGCGTGACGACAGTGACGCCCATCACGCCATCGCACAACTTTACACAGCTGCCGTATGTACAAGCATCCGCTGCTGAGTGCTTATGAGAGTTTAAAGACCTTCAAAGTGAGGACATCCTGTCCATAGACTACTGATCCTGGTCCCAAAGGGTTCTATTTTGGGTGTGGGCACCTCATATATGTGCCTACTACAAGCCTAACTGGCCTGTTGGAAAAATGTTAACAGACCTTGAACAGGCTGATGAGAGAAATTTCCTGCAATGGTGATTGGGACGATGTGCTTACACAGGTAGAAGAAACAGAGACAGTGGATAGGCTGGGTGAAATATAACACATTCTCTTTGTGGGATTATTTTGTTTTATTATTTTCTATTATTATTATTATTTGGAGTTTTCTGGACAATAGACAGCAATTGCTCACAAATGTTCATATATGTACTGGCAGGCGCAGTATTTATACATTTATACAAGTGTTCCAGGTTCATTACACACTCCTTGTTAATTTGATGATTTTTCTGCTGCATACTCTCCAGTTAATTCACTACATTTTACTGGTTTTCCTCTAACAGTAACATTAATTTGGCCATAGTCCATAAGTAATAGTTCAAATTAAGTAGAATTTATTTTAATTTTAAAATTCACCTTCTCAACTATTAGACTGTTTAAAGAAGAAGTAGAGTGGGTTTTGTTGCACATACAATTAATATTGCTGTGCATGTATCTATCAACCACAACAACAAATCTTTCCTTCAGAGAATGTTGCTTGCGGCTCAGAAAAAAACAGACTCAAAGCCAAATCATTGCAAGTTTGTTCCACGTCCGGTAAACCCACTTTGTAGTACCCCGCAGGTTCTCCTACCAACAGTCAAGCTGGTAGGCGATCTGAGGTGGAGATCTGAGTGAGGGGCTAAAACACAATTAAAAACTTCCAGGACAACATCAATTATTTCCAGGATAACTGGTCCTTTTGGTCAATTTCCAGGTGTTTCCATGACGCCCAGTTGTCACTCTCTATTATCTTCTGCTATATATAACTTACTTGTAAAAGTCGCAACTTCTTTACCTCAGCAGGTCGATGAAAATGGGGAGCAGGTGACGGGAAGACAATGCATTTATGATTTATACTCACTGAGCACATATTATTGAGTTATTACACTACTTTTACTGATATCTTTTAAGTGGAAATCAATAAATATATAGTAAAAGAGAAACTATTTTTAATCTGACTTTGGGTTCAAATTTGAAAATGAGGATTAGGTTTAGATTGACGTAAAGGTCACATTAAAATGTAGCATTTGCTCTAATGACCATTTGTTTGTCCTGCTGATGTATGGAGATCCATGGATTGGGGTTATTTTATGCAGTATTGTTATTCCTGTCTTTACTTTGTTTTCTCTGTTAATACCTGTAATAACAGAGAACAATAAAACATTTATCACCAAATAAAAAAAGAAAAATAATTAATTGGTATTTAGGGCAGGATTTCATTTAGTTGAATCTAGTTTAGGATTTGTGTTCAGGGTTCGTATTTGAACTGGTATGAGATTTGAGTTAGTTGGTAATGGTTATGAATAATTCAGTTCAATTTTGGCATTGATTCAGGTTCAGATTAATATATGATCAAGGCCAGAATAAGCATTACATTCACAGTTATGATTTGGGATAGGAAATCAAACTGTTTTCTTTCCACTATCAGTCACTAATCTGTGTTGAATAATTTCTAAAAATTCTTGAGGAATTTGAAACCACATCAGGAACAAACAGAATCATCATCCCACCCCACGGAGTCCAGTGACGGTGTCATTTTGTAAGCCAGCCCAGCAGTTATCTCCACTTAGGCTTATTACGGCAGTTTTCCAATGGAACTTCTGCATTGTGTTTTCCATATGCACATGAAACTAAGTAATTAACTGTGGCAAACAAAGGATATGCACTAATTTTGTTTAACAAGATCATTTCAATAAATCAACACACTTGGCTTGGTACCAGTCTTTAAGACATTGCATTGTGTGTGTGTGTGTGTGTGTGTGTGTGTGTGTGTATGTGTGAAGTATATTAAGATACAGGATTAAAAATATCACACTCAGAGGTTTGTTATTAATCATAAAGTTTTTTTTTTAGCTTTTTTATGACATTAATTTATTATTTTTTGGTCTGTTCTTCCATATTTTCTACATTTACACTGTGAATATGTAAAAGATAACAAAATCATTGGGTGTATCATGAATGTCACATAAAGTCCTCAATCATATTTAATAATGAGGGAGTGAGGCGTTCAGCTTACCTTTGAGATCCAGACATTTCACACTGCCACCTACACACGCACCCTGCTGAGAGAGAGACAGGGAAAGGGGTAGAAGCAGGAGGTGTGAGAGAAAGGCGCGAACACACACACACACACACACACACACACACACACACACACACACACACACACACACACACACACACACACACACACAGATATTTGGCAACAGCAGTGCACCCACCACCCTCCCCAGTCTCTTTCCGCACGGCCTCTCCATCCATGCCACACTGTACCGGTTTCATCAGGGAGGCTTATTGGACGCCAGAGCATGAATTATGAATTTCACACAGTTTACCGCCGCCGTTGATGGTGACACGGCGTCCTAATTAACCAGTGTATAATAATTAGAAACAGCTGGTCATCAGTTGATGTGTTCATTTGCCAGAGCCAGTGTTCCACATACATCTAATTTGACTGCATCAATCACCGGAGGTGGCAGATTTGTACGGATGGTGGAAAACACTGATTTTCTTTTCTACGAACAAGCAAAACAGGGAAAGAGAACAGGGATGATTTTTTTTAAAAGCTGGTGGATGGTGAGATGAGATTGTGTGACGTGGGATCATTGTGCCTTTTTCTTTTTTAAATATAAGCCTGTTTCATCTCTGACATGATAGACAGCAACCAAAAAGGTATTTATGTTGATATTTAAACTGTACCTTATCATTGGTTAGGGCGGGTTGAGGTCAACAGCTGCAGTTGATTCAAACTGTTACCTGATGATCAAAATGTTGTTTCAAAGAATTGTTGTATATTAACACAGCTCTGGGAGATAGCTGCAGGAAAACTGAATATTAATTTAAAATATCAGTTAGTGGAATCAGCAATTAGGGACCACCAGGGGGCCCCAAGAGTGAGCAAATTAAAATATGAAGTCTCCCTGCTTTCCTCTGGTCATTTGTATTCTTCACAAGAAGTAAAGTGTATTAAACACATTGTTTAGGTTGGTTTATTTATTTATTTGAATGCTTTTAATTGTAATAGATTGATTTCCAAATTTGTACATCAAAACTCACATACGTTGAATAAATGTTTTGTAGAGGAAAAAATCTGTTTATTTTGCTTTAAAGGCTCTGAAAAACTCCATCGCCATCAGCTTCTTTCTCTGAGCTCTCATATGAACACAGAATAATCTGCCAAAGCTCTTGTTATTGTGTATGAGGGATTTATGTGTTTAAATCAAAATGTGAGGGAGCATTGTGAGGTTGTCTACGACTGTCGCTGATCAGACCACACCCACACGGTCAGGACGAAGCAGATCAGCTGAGTTTTCAAAATCAGAATAAAAAAATAAATGAGACTAAATAAAATGTATGATTTTTTTGATTGTTGCTTCATGAGACATTATTGTAAAGAAAAACTGCAGCTTTAAAAGCGTGTTCAGGGACTTACATATATTTTATGCTGGTTTGTTCTTGTAAGTACACCACATTTTGAGGTCTATAGCTTTCAGTAAAACTTCATGTGCATCTCCATCTCTGAGGTCAATGTGCATCTCGAGATGCAGTGCCATTAAAGATAAATGTGAAGCAACTACCACCACAACTACCTGTGACTGGACAATTCACCCCTATTGCACTGAAGTTAATTCCGATAATAATATAATATAATAATAATAATACCATGCAGCACAATTCAATATGGTAGATAGTTTGTTTTATTCCTTTGGTTCTTCTGCTGGAGACACAGTTTAGAGAGGAGGAATCAATCTAAATATTCCATTATCAGTCAATACAGATAACAATTATTAGTAATCAAGGAGACCAATAACCAATATTTGGAACCGGTATATACTGGTGGTGGAGTGTAACTAAATACATACCGAGAGTGCTGAGCGACACTACAGACAGAGAGAAATCGAAGCCAAAGTAACGTGTTTTTAATTTATCGGAAATCATCTGGTACTGTTGGGTCTCTGTAAATAATGTTTTAAAGAGTTCGGTCTAGACCTGCTCTATTTGAAAAGTGTCCTGAGATAACTTCTGTTATGAATTGGCGCTATACAAATAAAATTGAATTGAACCTGAAGAATGATGAATATTGGATCCCATAATCGGTCTATCCCTAATAGGGCCCCTACTAATAAGTATATATAAATAAATTGTTTTTAACAGATGCAGAGACAATTCATCGCAATCTCATCCCAAATTGTATCTGATGCACACTTTTTTTAAATCAGCTTTTATGTCTGATGATTTTACCATCCCCACTTTATAATGTCAGACAGTCAATTAAAGTGTTTTTGGTTGTTTTTATCAACAAAAAGGAAATGGGGTGCAGGGTGCCCAATTCTGCTCAGGGCCCCAGAAAGTCTTAGTCCCTGCCCTGTCACCCGGTTTGTGTCAGTCAAACCCAGGCATTCTCTATGCCGACTCATCTTGGCTGGCTCACTGAATTGCCGCTTTCTTATTTGCGAGCAGCGGCTTGTTTCGCCTCTCGTTGCTAAATATGATTCATTGTTCAAAGGGACACGGGGAGTACAAAAGGACTTGGAAGGCTTTCCTCGCTCAGCTCTCGCGCCGCAGAGAGGAGAGCAAGGCGGGAGACAAAAAGACGGCGGCCATAATGTGCTCCTGTTGAAAGAATTAGACAGATCAATGGGACATAAATTGCACTGTTTATGTATACAAGAGGCTGGTGTGTAATTGGTAGAGGTGGTTGAATTTCCCCCCGTAATCATCTTAACTGAGGCACACACACTCATGCACAAACATGCACATTTACACACTTATACAGTGAGGGAGAATGTGTGTATATATGTGTATGTGCTGTACACACAATGCTTTATATATAAATAAAGTCTGTCACTGTGAGAGCAGACAGGGAGGAGTGCAGATGACATTTCACCTTATTTCAGTTTGATTCAATGTTTTTTATTCACTTGACCCCAAAAATACAACAAATTACAATGATTTGAATTATAATTGATTTTTTATTCGATCTATATACAGCATTAATTGTTTTTTTATTTTCTTTTTTTTTTTATTTCACCCTTTTATTTGGAAGATTGGAGTCTTCCAAAATGTGCCATATGGGTATAACAACACCAAGAAAACAAATCAGATTTATGCACAATTATTAGGTGAAAACAAGAAACGTATGCTTGGAAAGCAACATATGCATACTAGAAAAAAAATGTATTAACATATTAACATATACATATATACAGTCCCTTGCTACTATATGTTATATTTAAATTCAATTATTTAAATTAAATTATTTTTAAAATAATACTTTATCAACCTTAGGAAGCTGCTATTTTTAGTCATGAAACAGAAATATGCATTTTTCTTTCTGCACTCTCTTTTTGCATTAGAAACGCAATATATTTGTGGCCACATGTTTATTCTCTCCTGTTCCTGCCACTCTTATATGTTCATACCTGGTAAATATTTGAAAATATATTCTGTGTTGGGTCCTTGAGAGGGCTCCCATCAAAAAGAGGAATCCTTTATTTTCACTGTAAATCCATCCGTAAGGAACACAATGACTGTAGGACTATTTTGTTCATGGGTTTCACATACTTTCTATAAAAGCTAAATCTTATTAAATAGGGATCTGTGGACTAATTTATGTCAGTTTAGGGGTCTTTCATGTAAACCACCACTCTACATAAATACACATCTGCCTCTTAAACCTTCTTGGTGGATCCATTCTCTCCCTGTAAGCAGAAAACTACCTGAATCATTTCTTTTAACCCCTTTCCCTGGGTCTTCAACAGGAGGTCCTGCAGGTATGTATTAAAATACATGTTCAATATTTTTCAATAACCTCTTGAATAATATCTCATCCTGTATAATTATTATTTTAATAGATTATTGTATGAACAATAACAATGTATGCACATTATTGAAGGCCCAGTTTAATATGCAATACAATAACATGCTCCGTCTCTCTTTAGACCATATAATGTCCCTGCATCCATGGTTGGAATTACGGGGACCTGCCTGAAATCCAACTTTGAGATATTTAGGAGGACTTGAATAGAAGCCTTATGTTGTTGTTATTTAGCCTATATGAAATGTTATTGGCCATATTACCTGTCTGTAGTAGTAACATTAGAATGTTTTGCACATTAACAATTGCTATTGACGCCACACTTCAATGTATCTGCGCATGTAATACCGTAAAATAGGGCTCCCCGAATGCCACTGTGTAATTCCAGCTTTGCTTTCGTACATTAATCTGTATCAGTAATAAAGCACCAACATGGAGCAGGTTCATCACTTTACATTATGTCAGTGGTTCCCAACTTGGGGGCCTGGACCCCCACTAGGGGTCGCCAAAGCTTCACAGGGGGTCCTGAAGCCTTCTTGATTTTAAGGGGTATAAGAACATTTTTGAAATATACCTGCCTATCGGCCTATATCTCAGCATTTAGTTCGCTTCTGTGAAGAAAACAATAAACAGTGGCCAAGCATCAGGGACACGAAAACACAGAAATGGTTAAAAAAGAGGCCTATTAAGTCTGTATGATTGTTAAAAATGATATATAAAAAATAAAAATAAAAAACATAATACGGACAGAGTATTGTATAAAACAGTTCCCTAAACAGTAAATACTCGGCTCAAAATCCGTCCAAGTCACTCATTTTACACAAACTTCCGGCAGTTATTGAGTTCACTGTTTGGGTTCATTGTACATTGAATATAATATGAAATATCTATCAAAGAAACAATCTTGGGATGACAATATGCATGTAGGTTTATTTGATTCTGCTTTAGTGGTCTGGTTGCAGCATCACTAGTCTCTTTTTGAGAAATCTAGTTTGTTTTTTTGAGGTGTTATTTTTTGTTAAACCAATGTGGGCGTAGCATTCCAGAACTGCCTTAAGCTTTTTGTCTTTAGAGCACAAAGACAAGAAAAGTTTCTCATTTTCCAGCTGGAGTTTGGAGTGGATGTTTTGGGCAGCTCTTTCACTGACTTTTGCGTACATTTCTGTCACCTCAGAATTTTTATTTGGTCTGTCACAACAACAAAAAAAGTGTCACTGTGTGCTGGCGTCCGGCTGGCGACTGCTT